TATATATTTAAAGAAAGAAAAAATGATTTGATTATGATTAACTTAATAATTATTATTAATATAAACTGATTAGTAATAATTTCAGAATTATATTAAATTTATTAGGGCATTTTTAAGAATAGATTATAAAATATAATTTAAGAATAAATTAAAGAAATTAATTTATTTATAAAATGCAGACTTTAAATGATTATGAAATAATAGAAAAATTGGGATCAGGTTCATACGGAGATGTTATGTTGGCAAAATAGAAAGAGAGTGGATAGTTAGTTGCAATAAAGACTTTAGAGAAGCGATTATTAATAAAGGTTTGATCATTTGTATATAAAAAAGCAAAAGAAATAATATTAAGTTTTTATTGAAAAAGAGGTTTTAAGTTAAGTAAAGCATGCAGGATTGATAAATTTGATAGCTAGTTTTTAGAGTTCAAGTTAAATATATTTGGTGCTTGAATTTGTGGAGGGTGGAGATTTTGGAAATTTTCTGAAAATAAATAGTAAAAAATGGTGTTGAATAGAGTAGAGAATATGTGTGAATAAAGTATAGTATTTTATGGAGCAGAAATAGTTAGTATATTGGAATAATTACATATGAATGGAATAGCTCATAGAGATGTAAAAGTATAGTATTTAGAATGATAAATATAGCCAGAAAATATAATGGTTGGGAATAATTTACACATAAAGATGATAGATTTTGGGACAGCCAATTTTTTTGATGAGAGTAGATTAGATGAAAGTGTGAAAGAGAAATTGAGGGAGTAGAGAGAAATAAGTAAATAGGATGAAAGATTGATGGATGAAATAGATGAATATTAATAAAAGCATAAAGCTACATTTGTAGGAACAGCAGAATATGTATCTCCAGAATTATTAGAAGACGATACATGTGGTCCTTAAGCAGATTTGTGGGCATTGGGGTGCATAATATATAAGATGTTTACAGGAACAAGTCCTTTTAGTGATACAACAGAATATTTAGTATTTTAAAGAGTGAGAGCTTGTAAGTATGAGAAGAGTAATAAGATTTCATAGGATGGAATGGATTTGATAAATAAATTATTAGTTAGAGATCCATTAAGTAGATTAGGAGGTGGATTTGGAAGTATGTATAAGAAATATAAAGATTCAAAGAATACATATAAAGAATTAAAGAGTCATAGTTTTTTTAAAGAAATAAATTGGGATTAATTATGGAATATGAAAGGACCTGATGGAATTTAGATTAATTTAAAGAAATAAAATTTAACATAAGAATTATAATTCAAGAGACAGAGTTCTGCTATTAAACCAGAAGTAGTATTGACAGGATTGGTAAATAAAAAGACTGGTTAGTGAGATGAATATTATAGGTTGGATGATATATAAGTTACGTAATATGATCCTGTATGATTTTGAGATTCCTAAATTGGAATATTTTGATCCTAATACTGGTTTAAAAAAAGTATATTAAAATATTTACTATTTAAGGGTTAAATAATTTTAGATAGGAATGTAATAATAGAATTATTAAAGGGACAATTTAATGTAGATGTTCCTAATAAAAAAAAATATTACTTTAAAGTAAAAATATTATTTAATTAGGAATGTGAACATCCAGCATAATTATGGGTTGATAAAGTGAAAGAGATTATGAAAAGAAGACTTAATTATGAATGATTATATGGATAGTTATGATTCATTAAAAAAAGTCTTTAGGAAATTTATTGCCTGCTCTAACTCTGATTTTTATAGGTATTTTTTCTTCAGATTCATTTCGAATTAGTTAACTCCTCTTAAATTTATTATTTAATTCTTATGTAGAGAGTAACAATAATTCGAGAATGTTTTCGTTTTCAACTTTATCAAGTTCAATTTTAAGATTACGTGCAACTTAAAGATTGCTCTTGCTATCATGTTCAAAACCCATAGAATCATTATTTTGAGGAGAGTTAAAAAAATATTTCTTTTTTTGTGTTATAACTGCTTCTTTGTCTGGATTAATCTTTTATGTATTAATTGAGTTTCGTCTCATTTATGACAATATATCTCTAGAATCATTAAGTCTACTAGAAATTGGTTATTTAATACATTATTATTATTATTAAGCATTATTCTAAAATATTAAAAAATATTTTACGATATGGATTGAGATTTTAGCTTCTTTATTTTATTGGTTTTACTATTGCTATTTTAATTTAACTTTTATAATTTCTTTGCTTGTTATATAGGTTTAATAAGAACTTGATTATTTATGATGTTTTGGACTTTAATTAAATACATCAATAACTTTAATTCTTTCACTTGATTTACATTTCTCTTCACTGGATTATCGTTTAATTAATTGATTTCTTTAAGTTTATGAAACAGATCTATATTTATATGCTTCATCTCTTTTAGTGATAAGTAGATCTAATCCTTTCTTAGGAGTATTGTCAATTGATGATTGATTATTATTCTCTAAGATGAATTTACTTAATTACTAGATAATATTTATTGTGCATACAGACTTAGATTGGTTTACTTACTTTAAGGCTTTATAATTTTGTGATTTTGATTTTCAATTGAACCTAAATTAAGTTTAATTTTTGGAGAACTATAATCAATAGTTCTTTAGGTTAAATCTTAATTAATGAATTCTATTGTATTACAATAATAATACTTGCTTTAGTAAATCCTTAAAAATCTAATTTCGGTTTAAGATTGATTTTCTTTGATCTTATTTATTCGTTAGAATAATATGACGAGAGATATTTTTTGAGCATTATTTTAACTATTTTATTAAATATATAATTTATAATAAGTTTAAGGGTTTGATAATTCAATTTATCAATTTTTCAACTAGGTTTATGATATAGCTTTGATTTAATCAAATAACATTTTTAATTCTAAATGTTTTGAAGTCAAAGCTTCATATTCTGTAATTATGTCTTAATTTTGATCTTCTAATGATTCACATTTTTGAATTGCCTCTTTAAATTTCTCTTAATAATAATCTCTCTCTTCTGTTATTGGATCTACAACTTTCTTCAATTCAGTTTCAATCTGTTATCTGAACCAGTTATCTAAAGATTATTATAATTCTGAAAATTAAGCTTAGTAATATTAAGTCAATTCACTAATTTTTTAGGTATTAGATTCATTCTCAATTTTAGCATTCTATAAATCATTTTCTTATTATTCAATAGCGTATTTCTATTCTTGAATTTATTATTCATAATTCTATTTTTCATTTTCAAATACAGATTTTAATTAATTAATTTCATTTTATGATGATTAATACTATTACTTTAATGTCTCATTAATACTACTCAATCTCTTGTATTACTCTAAAATATTCTCTTATTATTCTTATAAAACATTCTTACTCAATTCTAAATTTTCTATATCTAAAGTAAGTTATTAATTTGTTTTCATTACTTCCTGAGATTACAATATAGCCTATTACATACTCTTAATTTCTTATTAAACATTCTACAACTCATTAAATAATTTAAGATTATCTGATTTAAATTTCAATAATTATTCTTATGCTGTTTATAGTCTATTTTTTAAATATTATATTTCTGCATCCTTACTTTCCAAAGATTTAATAAATCCATCTTAATCATTTTAACATACTTCTACTAATAATTCAAGTTCTTTAACTTATGTGACTTAAGTCTTACAATTTGATAATGATTATTGTAATTAGGATATTTCACTTTTTAATTATTAATTTTCAGTTAATAATCTATTTAATTTCATTTCAGCTTCTGCTTTTTATTACTTTAATGATTATATCTAAAATTAAACAACTGAATATTCTTATAGTTTTTCTTCATTTAACAATAATTTGTCTCTTAATTACTTAATTGTTTATTAATCTGATTCTGTATTATTTGATTAATATTATTATTGTACTTTTTATAATTATTAATGCTTAAGTTATATTTCATTATATGCTCTTTCTTTCTCTTATAAGAATTTATGTTACAAATCATATTCCTCTTTAAGTTTATCATACTTATTTTGTAAATCTCCATTATTATATCCATGTTTAGTTGTATGTTGACTGTGAGAAATAGATTATTATATATTCTCATCTCTAACAGATAACCTATTTTATTGACTCTTAAAGTCTTATTCACTATTTCTATGTTTATTGAATTTAATTTATTTGAATTACAATAAATTTGCATCTTACATTTTTAATCTATCTTCACCTGTTTACTAATTCACTACTTGAAGTGAAAATTCAGATAATCTATCGTCTATTCCTCTTTCTGATACTTGAGTTTTTGAATTATATTGTCCTATTCTAATAGGAGAGTTTGTTGATCTATATAATTCAGGTGCTTTCGGTGGTAAACACTTTTATAAAAATAGGTAATTTTTACATTAACAAATACTTAAGTAGGTGATTGTAAAGATAGTTTTTTATAATCATTGTCAATTTATTATTTAGATATAATAGCTAAGGAACTAAAAGGTTGAACAAATCTATTCTTCTAATTTGATTATCTTAATGGGGATATTGAATTCTAAGTATGCTATGTTATCAAATAATCATATTTCAAAGGTGAAATATGATGAGAATTTTAAACAGATTGTTGAAGGGAAGCAGTCGTAGGCCTTCTTTAAGTATGAGTTTCAATATATTAAATATCAGCATTGCTCATTAACGTTCAAATTTTAAATATATAAATAAGCATTTTAATATTGTATTATATGTATTTGATGATATTGATATTTGAGATGATTAGCTTTATGATTGATTAAATAACATAGTATAACAATACAATTGAATAGATATGATTGTTATATTAATGAATACTAGTTATAATTAATTATTAATAATATGTTAGATAATAGTGAAGCCATAATTAGAGAATCCTTAGAAAGCTATCTCAATTATCAACATTAAGAATGTGTATTAAAGAGTGAAACAAGTAAACCACATCTTAGATAGAAGTATTGTGAATGCTTGCAACTAGAATCATTTGTTGAATTCGTATTGACATGTTTAGAATTAGTAAATACTACAGTGTTAATGAAACAGAATTATCAATTAAGTCATAAGTTGCATTTATAATATTGGAAAATATTCAATGAACTACCATAACCTAAAGATGAAATGGTAAGTTTCATATTAATTGCAGTATGGTTCTTAATTCATAGTACCATTTTTAAATTATAAACATAAGAAGAAAGAAATAAAATAGATTAAAGATTCCTCTTCAATTCATATCATGTTCTATTGTATTATATTAATGGATTCTATGTGTCTGATGAATTTGTACAATAATAAGTTGATATCTACCTCAACAATAGATATTTAGATTACAGACTAAATTCATTTTAAAAGAAGAATCTTAAAAAATAGTAAATGCAATAAACTTAAACTAATTTATTCCCAAATGTTAGTATACCTGAATTAACATAAGTGTAAGGAGCAACTTAATTTTAAAAAGAACTGAGATTTAGAAAAAAACAAAAAAAGTAATAAAGTGAACCTATAGTTCTTGAATAATAGCAATAATAATAATAATTAAATAGAATTGATAGAAGTGGTAGATTTCCAAACTCAATTAAATTTAATCTAAATTAATTGTCTCCATCTATTAATTCACTTCTTAATCTTAGTAATAAAGCTACACCAAGAGCCAAATTAGTTACACATTAAATTATATCACATAATTTTAATTAAGTTAAAGTATCAAATGTATTAAAAAGTTTGGATGAACCAAGAACAACATTAACATAAATGAAAGAAAGTAGAGACAATACTAAAGGATAAAGATTGCTTGATAAATATAGAGTTACATAACCACCCCTTGAGTACTTTAAAAAACATCCTAAAGTGGATCATCTATTTAAAGATATGTTAGAAATGAAACTTGTTTTATAATCAAGTCATTAACATATCTATACATCTCCTAGATTAGCTAAAGAAGATTCTACTGCATTAAGAGAAAAATTAACATAATATTTAGAGGAGAGATCGTTAAAATCAAATTTAACACCTTAAGATGATCTATATTAATAGAGTCCATAATTAGGATCGAATATGATGATTACATATTAACATGTTAGAACTCCCAGTGATGGAACTAGACTATAAGATACTCATTCTGTATTCCCATCTGGATAAATTAGTTCCTTTCTTTAAACATAACTCTCATAATCCCCATAACCTAGAAACAATAATAAATTTGCATATGAAGATAAAAGAAAACTATATACTCATAGATTTAACAAAGCTAATGCTGGATAAACTACAGATGATAAAATATCAAATCTATAACATAACTTACTAGTCAAACAACACATGATTTAATAACACTTAAAAAAATAACATTGAATTTATTTATTATTAGTATACTTAATAAACTCATACTTTCATCATATATTATTATTAGCATCTTTATCATATTAAACATTGACTCTTTTATTTTATTAAATTAAATTAAATTTATTCCTTCTAAAAAAATAATCTATTTTTATATAAAACTAAGTATAATATATATACTTCTAAGTTTTATTTATTTCTAAACATTTAACTTAGTTTATAACATTATTAATAATTCAATAATTATCAAAAAGATTCTATTTATTAATTTATTCTCAAATTATAAATCAAGATTTAAATAGCAGAAACCATCAGTTCTCAATCTTTTCCTATTTAATTCTCAAAAAATATCCAATATTAATATATTTTATTTATAAATTAATAAAAATGAAATCTTTAATTCCTTGTTAAAAACATGAAGGTAGCTATTTACACTTTATTATTTATTCAAAATAAAAAGCAGAGTATCTATGTGAACTATGCTAATTGGAACTAGATAATAGTGAAGTTAAAAATGATTCGTAGTTAATCCATATTAGGAGTGTATGATTTCATACTATTTTATTAAAGGCATTTAATTCATCTGAATATTTATTATCAAAACTCAATTTGGATACTTAACTAAATCAATATTTTACAGAATTAGATGAAAAAAATGAGAAAAAAATTAATAATATATTATAAGACCTTAAAGTTTAAATAAAAAATCTTTAAAATAATCTATAAGCAATTGAAAAAGAATTAGATTAGCATCAAAAATGCTTTTTAGACAAAAAAAAGAAAATTAAAAATAGATTAAATCTTGTAATTCGTTTACTTAAAATTATAGGCTATTTAATTCGATTAATTTAAGTAATTCATATTGAACCTTTAGTAATTAGGAGATGCAATTAATCCTTAAGCTATTGAAGAAAATGAAAAAAAATTGCATCAATATTTTTAAGATCTTAAAAAAAATGATTCTAAAGACTTGAATTAAACTGTGGAAAATATTTTAATTGAAATACTATAGCCAAAAGATCAAATGGATGAATAATATCCATAAATCAAAAAATTAGAAGAATAGTTGTAGTTGTTCAGAAATAGTTAAATTGAGTTTTAAAAATAGATAAGGAAAATGAATGACGGTACAAGAATAAGAAGTATTTTGTTGTTAAGATCTTTTTCAAGAAAAGTTGAAAATTAGATTTCATCAAAATTGAATAAGATAATATTAAGCCTTTAACAAGTATATTTTAGTTCAAGTGATGGATTAAATGGATAAACTTTTTGGAATAAAATAAATGGTAAATCTAATTTATTAATGATATTTAAATCTAAAAGTGGAAATATTTTTGGTGGATTTTCTCCATGTTAATGGTAGTTAAATTTGAATAATTATGTTTAAGATAATTCATTGTCATCATTTTTATTTTCATAGACTCATGATTAAATATATCCATTAAAAGAAGCACATAAGCAGTATGCTATTTATTGTAATTCAACACATATACCTTGTTTTGGTTATAATGGAGATTTATATATATATTAAGATTTAAATTAAGGTCATTCTACATTAGGTATTTCTTATCAATGGGATTAATATCAAAATTTAAATCCTAAAAGTAGCCATTTATATGGTTAAATAACTCCAAATATATAAGAATGTGAGATTTATTAAGTAATATTTAGTTGATAAATATATATAAATTTTTTAGCATTTATAATTTTTCCTTAATTATTAAAAATACATTTTTTAAATCCTGTTATCTATCAAATTTAAATAGAATGCTTTCACTCTTTTATTATTTTTATATTATAAGGATATATAAAAATTATTGTATTAATTTTGTTACTGATTTGAAATCATATAGATTTAAAATAAAATAAAGTTGTTATAAATATTAATAAAAGAACAAAAATCTAGATAATGATCTTTTTAATTTTCAACACAGATATGATAAAATATATTTGAATATTGAATCTAATCTAATCTAAAATAAAATAAAAATATAATTAATTGAATTTGATAAAAATGTATATAAATAAAATATAAAATGAATACTCACAAATTTGCAACAACTTCTTACCAAGTTAAAATATTATCAATTCTTTCAATAAATGTTTTACGATTTTAAATTTAATTACTATTAATTTAATTAGATTTAAAATCAGAATTTAATATCTTCTTAAAAAGTATCTAAAAATATTTATGTAAAATATTACAGTTGATGTGATTGGACATTTAAGAATTTAAGTAAGAAGATATTCAGCAAATGGGACATTTTAGACTGATGCTTTAATTTTTTA